CAAGACTCAAGTGGAACATGAAAAGGTGAACAGGAAAGAGAAAATCGTAAGATACTTATTAAGGTTAAACTGTTTATATTCCTGCATGAAAAGATGATATTTGTAACTCATGAGACATTTGTCATTATTAGGGTAGTTGGAGGGGAAAAATGATATATACATATATATATATATATAGATATAGATATAGATAGATAGAGGGCACAGGGTAAGTTGAAAATGAAGGGGTCATATTTGGAGAATAAAATTAAGGGGTGAGAGAGGATTATACTAGGAGAAGGAGAAAGGGAGAGGTGGAATGGGGTAAATTATCTCACCAAAAAAAAACAGAAAAGAAAAGGCTCTTACAGTGGAGGGGAAACAGTGGAAGATGAGAGGGAATGAGTGAAACTTATTCTCATAGGATTTGACTTAAGGAGGGAAAAACACACACACTAAATTGGGTATGGAAATCTGTCTTACCCTACAGGAAAATGGAGGAGGAAGGGAACAAGGGAGTTGGGGGATGATAGAAAGGAGGGCAGATTGGGAAAGGGGTTAATCAGAAGCAAAAACTTCTGAGGAGGGATGGAGTCAAAAGAAAGAATAGAATAAATGCGGCGGCAGGATAGGATTAAGGGAAATATAGTTAGTTTTTCACATTATGTCCACTTTGGAAGTGTTTTGCATAAGTGCATATATATAACCTATATTTGGTTGCTGTCTTTATCAATGAAGGTGAGTGGGGAGGGAGGAAGGGTGAAAATTTGGAACCCAACGTTTTAAAAACACACATTTAAATAAATGTTTTCACATGCAACTGGGAAATAAGAAATACAGGAAGTGGGGTACATAAACCCATCCTGCCCTACAGGAAAATTGAAGGGGAAAGGGGTTAAGAGAAGGGGGCGGAGAGATAGAAGGGAAGGCAGACTAGGGGAAGGGGTATTTAGAATGCATGCCATCTTGGGTTGGGGGAGGGACGAGATGGGGTGAAAATTTGGAACTCAAAATCTTGTGGAAGTAAATGTTGAAAACAAAAAATAATAAATAAAAATTACCATAGAAAACAAATACAAAAGAAAAAAATAAACAAAAAAAATTAAGAAGAGAAAAAAAGAATTATAAAAAAAATAACAAAATCACAAAAGAAAACTAGAGCAAATAGTGTGTTTCCATCTGCATTCAGACTCCATTATTGTATCTCTGGATGTGGATATCATTTTCCATCTTGAGTCTTTTGGAGTTGTCTTAGATCCTTGCATTGCTGGGAAGCACCAAGTCTATCAAAGTCAGTCATAGCACAACGTGGCTGTTACCATGCACCATGTTCTCCTGATTCTGCTCATTTCACTCGGTGTCAATTCATATAAGTTTTTCTAAGTTTTTTCTGAAATCTACCTGCTCATTATTTATATTTTTAAATATATTTTATTTTATCAACAATCACTTCCATAAGCTTTTGAATTTTAAACTCTTCTCCTCCTCCTTCCCCACTTTTCTCCCCAAGGGGGTGTGAAATCTATTATAGGCTACACATATACATTCCTATTAAACATACTTTCACATTAGTGATGTTGTAAGGAAGAATTAGAACCAGCAGGAGGAAACACAAGAAAGAGAAAACAAAAAAAAAACAGAAGGAAAAAATGGCAAATACCATTTTTCAATCTGCATTCAAACTCCATAGATCTTTTTATGGATGTGGATGGCATTTTCCATCATGAGACCTTTGGAGATGACATAGATATTTGCATTGCTGAGAATGGCTAAGTCTATCAGTGCTAGTCATAGCACAATGTGTCTGTTACTGTGTTCAATGTTCTTCTCGTTCTGTTCAGTTCATTCAGCATCAATCCATACCAGTCTTTCCAGGTTTTTCTGAAGTCAGCCTGCTCATCATTTCTTTGTAACACAATAGTATTCCATTACATTCATATACCACAACTGGTTCAGCCATTCCCTAATTGATGGGCATTCCCTCAATTTCCAATTTATGGGAATCCCCTCAATTTCTAAGTCATTACCACCACAGAAATAACTGCTATAAATATTTTGTTACATATGGGTATTTTTCCCATTTTTATGATCTTTTTGGGATTCAGCCCTAAAAGTAGTATTGCTGGGTCAAAGGGTATGCACAATTTGATAGCCCTTTGGGTATAGTTCCAAATTGGTCTTCAAATGGTTGGATCAGTTCACAACTCCACCAACAGTGCATTAGTGTTTCAATTTTTCCACGTCTTCTGCAACATTTGTCATTTTCCTGTTTTGTCATGTTAACCAATCTGATGGGTCTGTTGTGGTATCTCAGAGTCATTTTGATTTGCATTTCTCTAATCAATAGTGATTTAAAGCATTTTTTCATGTAACTATAGATATCTCTAATTTCTTCTTCTGAAACCTGTCTGTTCATATCCTTTGACCATTTGTCAATTGGCAAATGACTTGTTTCTTAGAAACTTGATGGCAGTTCTCTATATATTTTAGAAATGAGGCCTTTATCACATATACTGGTTGTAAAAATTATTTCCCAGTTTTCTTCTTCCCTCTTAATCTTGGTTGCATTGACTTTGTTTGATACACATCACTGATTAAAACCAAGTAATATTCCATTACATTCACGATGATAATTTATTTAGTCATTGATGGCTATCTCTTGTTTGCAATCCTTAGCTATCACAAAAAAGTATTGCTAAAATGATTTCAAGCATATGAGAACCTTCTTTTCGTATTGATGGATTCCCTTGGTATAAGCACAGTAATGCAGCCTCTGGTTCAAAAGGTTTGGATATTTTAGTGACTTAATTTACATAGTTCCAAATGTTGTACCATTTCAAAGCTCCACTCACAATATATTAGTATGGCTATCTTTCCACACATTCCTCCCAACATTGCTGCATTTGGAGGTGATTTTTCCCTACTTCCCTAATTGTGATGGTTGTTTTGATTTGTGTTTCTCTTATTATTAGAAATTTGGAGCATTTGTCCATGTTCTTCTGAATAATTTGTAATTTGGTGATTATGAAATAATTACTTGTCTGTCTCACAGGGTCATTGTGAGAAAAAACACTTTATAAAGCATAGGTTCTGTTTCTCTGCCAATTCTTGTTATAAACAATGAAACCACTGAGTGATTATACTCAATTCCTTTTGATGATAACCTCACTATAGTCTAACAGCACCTTCCATCTCTGTGGTGGAAAACTCCATTAAACGTGATTGTCCACCCTCATTCATAGGAAGATACTCCAAACCTTTTAAAGAAAAGTGAGGTAGAATGTTGCTAAGTTGTGCGAAAAAGAAATGGATTAGAGAACAGAATACCCATGTTTGAATCTTCAGGTGAATTGTGGGGAATGGCTTTATGATTTTTCTCCATATGATAAATGCAATGATGAGATGGGTTGTTGGAGGCCCAGTTTCAAAGCACATGTAATATGCTCTGCTGGTTTCAAGCCAAGCAAAGGCTTCGTTATCCTGCTTCCAAGCATGCATATTGTGACAACCTCTTACTAAGTCATCCATAAAAATATCTGTCCTTTTATATAAACATTGTAATTATGTAGTAAAATCAACTATGTGTGAACTTTTAATCAATAGAGATAGAAGTCACAATATGAGGTGTAAATATTTCTTAGTTATAATTTCCTACTCCATCTTATTTTACACATAAATTAACTGAAGTAAACAAGGTTAATTGCTTTGCCCAGGGTCACATAACTAACAAGTGCCTGAGGTCAGTTTTGAACTGAGCTTTTCCCAACTCTAGCAAAGGGTGGAGAACATGTGCCCTCAAGACCACATGTGGTCCTCGTGCTCCTCTAGGTCCTCAACTGTGACCCTTTGATTGGATCCAAACTTCATGGAACAAATCCTCTTAATAAAAGGATTTGTTCTGTAAAATTTGGACTCAAACTAAAGACCTCACCCAAGGACCCACATGCCCTCCAGGCCAAAGGTTCCCCACCCCTGCTAAACCCCCACTCTTATCGACTGCACCACCTAACTGACCAATGTTTGGCACAGTAACTTGCACAATAGTCACTTAATATAATCTATCCATGTATCTATCTATGTCTCTCATCATCATCACCATCAATATCATCACCAATATCTACTATAATCTATCTGCATATCATCTATCTTACACCAAAATATTAATAACATTTTGTATCAATATAAAGTAAACAAATAGATTTTTACTCGTGAATGTGATGTAGTTATGAAATAGTTATGATATGAACAATTTGAATAAATGTGGAAATATGTATAAACAGATGCTGAATCAGGAGAAATATGTACACTAACTGTAACAATATAAATGGAAAGGGCAATGAAATCTCAGCTTTAGATATGTAAGTATAATGATTCATCCTGGCTGTGAGGAAGAGATAAAATACAGCAAACTTTTCTTTTCCCTTCGATAGAGGTATAGAAAACTGAGTTTAAAGTGTTGTACATATTGTGAAATAATGTGATAATTTTCTTTTTGTTTTTGTTGTTGTTAGTGATTTTAAGTGAAGACTTATTTAGGGGGGATGGTACATATGTCCAGAAATCAAGTGTGTATAAATGCTTTACTAAAATTAAAGAAATACAATATAATGTATTTCTCTTTCTGGGCTTAGCAAAATAATGATTTTGCTTTATCTTTTCATGAACTTTATCTTTAAGAAAAATCTATGTCTTGGCTGGATATTGTGAGTGCTACAGATATAATCTTATTCTGGATAATTGAGATAATTGTCTGCCTTTATCTTTTCTCTCATGAGGAGATTAATATTAATAGTAAATCATCAAAGATATTCTAACTTTGTCTTTTAAGTTAAATAGTCATAGAAGACATCCTTATACCTACTAAGCAAGGTGTTTCAAAGATTCGAGATTGCAATAAGATAATGGTGAGACGTTACAAGACAGGAAAGAGAAAATATTGGAATTAGATTCCTAGGAGAATTATGGAACAAGCAAAGAAGAAAGGATTTGTAAATTCAGTGCTTTGTTTCATGATCCTTTTTTCACTTCAGTGTTAATTTTCTCAAAGCTCCGATGGCATCTTTGTTCCTTAATGTATATATCACAGGGTTAAACATTGGTGTCACAGTGGTGTAGAATAGAGAAAGAACTTTGTCTAATCCTTCAGAGTGGTTGCACTTGGGTCTGAAATAAACAATGACACCAGGCCCAAAGAATAAGATGAAAACTATGAGGTGAGAAGAACAAGTGGAGAACAGTTTGTGTCTTCTAGTGACTGATGACAGCTTCAAGATGGTCAAGATAATTTTTACATAGGACCCAAGTATCAATAGAGAGGGAATCAATGCAAAGAGTACAGCATCTGCGTAGACTGAGATTTGATTTGCAAATGTGTTTCCACAGGTCAGCTTCACTACTGGGAGCATGTCACAGAAAACATGATTGAGCTTGTTAGAACCAGATAAAGGTAGAGAAAAAATCTGATAGGTCTGCCCTATGACCACTGACATCCCAGTGACCCAGTAGCCAATGACCAGCTGGATATATACTTTATGGTTCATGATGACTTGATAGTACAGAAGCTTACAAATGTCCACATAGTGGTCATGTGCCATCACAGCCAGCAGTAAATACTCTGTTCAACAAGAATAAGAAAGAAGCAAAGATGAACAGCCCAAGCCACTACAGAAATATGTCTGTTCTTTGTCAAAAGACTCATCAGCATTCTTGGGAGACTAACAGATGTGTAACAGATTTCCACAAAGGAAAAATTTCCAAGAAAAAAATACATAGGTGTTTGGAGAGCTGGGTCAACCTTGGTTATGACAATGATAAGGCCATTTCCTATCAAAATACTCATGTAGATGACTAAGAATACACCAAATAAAAATGCCTGGAGATTAGGAAGATCAGAAAACCTAAGAAGAATAAATTCCATAATGAGAGTGAAATTTGTTCCTGATATTATGTTCCTTTTTTCTCCTTTCCATATATGAAAATACTGAATTCAGCAATGGCAAATAATTTTTCTTCTCTGGCATTTCATTTCTACCTCTGAAAAATGAATGGGTAGAATTAGATTGTAGAATCACAAAATTGAGTGGGGTGTTGGAAGGCATGTCAGTGGTTTTCATTCTCATCCTTTACACAAAAGGAACTTCAACTGTACATACCTGACAAGTGCCCAATACAGTCTCTGAATGGAGTCCTCCAAGGAAGGGGAACCCAACATCTCTTGAGGATAGCCTATTTTGCCCATGGAATTTCTACCTCATGCTCCTGATAAGATCCTCAGAGCAGGCAGAAAAAGTGTAATCCTTCTGCCTTATTTTAAATCTTTACCTCACTGACAAAATGTATCTTTTCTCCCTTGAGTCATCACTAATCACTTTTGGTTTCAAATCTCAGCAATTACCCAAGCTTTTAGTAAAATATCTCATAAGATATTTGTGAAGATTAAATATGAATAAAGTTATACAATTGGATGGCTGGCTGACCAAGAAATATTTATGTTTCAATGTTAATTTGGGAGTAGGTCTTGAGCTGTGTAATTCCCTAAAAGTCTCCCCTTAATCTGGACTATTTCAATTTTTATCAATGACTGGTTAAAGACATAGGTACTATGTTCAATAAATTTGCAAATGACACACACATACATGTATGTATAGGAGTATATATGCATTGAATGTTTGCATATATGTACACATGTATGTATAACTACTAAAATACACATTGTGCACATGTTTATTTATATAGTGTCACATATACAAATGTGTGTATGCGTGCCTGTGTACAAGTGCACCAATACCTATATATACACACATGCATGGGTGTGCACATACACATAGGTGAATATGCATATGTTCAAGTACATACCCTACTTTAGTTGACATTTTAGAGGTAGAAATATGCATAATCTGTCAATGTGAATATTTCTCTTCAAAGCACAGTTCAAGTTTCCCATGTTCTGTAAAATTATAGCTTTTTCTGATCATCCCAAATCTAGGCAATCTCTTCTATGTTTGAATTTCTAGAAAACTTACATTTTGTACTATTGATTTGAAATTTACTATGTAACACTTTTCAGCCTTAGTAGTCCAATTATATTTTTATATTTAATGTCAATAATTAGGTTATTAATACCTTGAAAGTGAGACTACCATCTCAAGTGTATGTCTTGCATGATGTCTTGCACATAATAGATGATCAGTAGATGTTTTTTATTATTATAATGGACTGTTTTTAGGGAAAGATTTTTGGACCACCAGCTAGATTGTTATCTCAAAGTATATACCTTCCAATTGATGCTTGAATCTCTAAATTGCACATTAATTTATTTGTGTTAATTCTTTATCTTTTTGCTAGACTCTAGAAATAATTATAAATTAATTTGTTATAGGCCACTAATGCAGATAATTATTTATCATATTTTTTTTTTCTGCCTGGGTAGCTAGTTGACCATTAATCACTGAGAGAATGGAAACTATTTGTATGGACATAATAATAGTAATTGTTAGGAGTGCAAGCTTATCTGAGACGCTGGTAATGGAGGACTAGCCCAGGTAAATATAGAAAGGAGATATTACTATTTTTTTAACATGCAGAGAGAGTTACCAAGAAGAGCAATGGGAGTGTAGAAGGGAGATAATGACCTAGTCAAAATGTTATAGAATTTCATCGCAGTTCCTGATGTATTTTCTTTCCTTGGAGATTATTTGACCACTGACTCTAGGTAATATCATCTTCATATCTATATTTATAAATTTAATTAAACTTTTCTAACTCTCAGTACCAGATATATTTTTATGCACCAGTCATGAAGGAGGAAATACAACATTGCTGGTTAAAGTGTAGGATGAAGAGGAACTGAATTCTAATCTTGACTTTGAATAATTTAGCTTTGTGATACAGATCAAGTGATTTCAATTTCTAGTGACTTCATTTACTTATATGTAAAATGTAAACAATAGTAAATGTCTAGATTTCCATAACACATATTACGGTCATCATTCACCTGAAAGAATTGATGTGAAAATAAATAAAAAGGCATGAACCTATATACAATAGAATGTATTACTATTTAATTAACTTTTATCCAAAGTCTTCATCTCCTTCAAGTACCATCTATTGAAATTTTAGGTGCTCTCTGCCTCTTTTTAAATCTGTAGCAAAGTTATAATTGTGTAATGGAATATGAGACATATATGAGAGATACAGAGGGGAGAATCAACAAAACTTAGCAATTTAATGGATATGAAAGACAAAGAAACACCAAGAACGAATCCAATGTTCTAAACTTCACTGACACAGAGAATGGTTATGTTTTTAATAGTGACTGACATCCAGTAAGTTGGTGACACTGCTTTCTCCCAGCTATCTGTAATTAGCTAATTTATTAAACATGTCATTTCTATCTTCAAGTCTGATAAATTATTAAATCAACCTAAATCTGTAGAAATGTCTGCCAGAAATCACTTCTAAAACTGACATACAACCTTTTGTTATGGCATGTGTTTTAGTCTATTCATTCAAGCAATTGTGAAGACCATACCCAAGTCTTCAAAAATATTCCATAAAAATATGTGGGGAATTTCAGTGAATTATTTTTTTTCTAAAATTGAAGCCAATATTGTCTAAACTCAAAGACTTCTGTTCCCTTATCATTTGAGCAACCCTGATAATGAAGGACATTAGTTTAGGGAAACAATGTTTCTGACTTTGTGATCATCAATCTCCTGCTCGTCATCACTCTCTTTGTCCTCCTCATCTTCCTCATCCTAATCCTTGTCCTCCTTTTTCTCCTCCAGTTTTTCTCCCCCTCCTTCTCCTCCTCCTCATCTTTGTCTTCTTCTTCTTCATATTGTTCTAGATATAGAGGTAGAAAAGGAACTTAAAAGCCATTGATTCCACACCTCTCATATTTCAGTTAGGTGAATTGAAATCCAGAGAATTTAAGTGACTTTACCAAGATCACATAGTGACAACACAGGTCCTGTGATCACATTGGAGCAGCTGTGACCATTCAAAGGGGGAGGATCATACACAGTAATGCCATAGCAATATAAGAAGATGCTGCAATGCATAAAACAGTACTGGGTTAAAGGTATTTTAAGTTGTTGTTCCAAGAGATTAATCAGTAAAATTATTAGGAATGTAATTAAGAATAATAATTTACATGAAAATCACATTTTATCATTCACAGGTGACACCATGGATAGGGCACTGGGCCTGGAATCACAAAGTCTAAATCCACAAAGTCAGAATCAGTGAGTCTAAATCCAACCTCAGAAATTTATTGGCTGTATAACATTGAGTCAGGTACTTACGCTCTGTCTCTGTTTCCTCAGCTGTAAAATGGGGATATAACAGCATCTACTGCATAGGGTTATTGTGAAGATCAAATGAAATAATATTGTAAAACTCTTAGTACAGTGTCTTTCTCATAGTAAGAGCTCAAGAAATGTTTTCCCTCTCCTTTTCCACTTTACGCTAAGTTGAGTGTTCATTTCCTTCTGATGTTCATTTTTTTTGTGTGTGTCAGAGAAAAAAAGAATAAAACAAATTTGAGTTTCTCTTCCTCCTGTCACAAATTATCATCATCTCATCTACCCATAACAGTGGGCCAATACTTTCCTTGATCTTTCTCAATATACATAAAAGTGTCTCTTCCTCTGACCCTTTTTATGTTTATCACCTTAAATTCATTTGATCCTTTTTTTCTGTCTAGGCAATGGGGTTAAGTGACTTGCCCAGGGTCACAAAGCTAGTAAGTGTGATGTGTCTGAGGATATTTGAACTCAGGTCCTCCTGAATCCAGGGCCAATACTCTATCCACTGTGCCATCCAGTTGCCCCCATTTTATACTTTAAAACATACTCTTCACAAACCTCTATCAAAATACTCATATATTTATTTGTATTCATCATTTATTATCTGCCTCTGCATTTGCACTTTTAAAAATAATAACCCAAACTATTAAAAAGAATTCACTCCTATCCACCTCAGATGTTTTTATCTCTTTAGCATTTTATATATTTATATATATTATAATATATATAATATTATACATATTTATAGATATATATTATAATATATAGTATATTTATATGTATACATATATATATATATATCTTTTAGGGGTCTTTTTTGTCTTATTCAACTGAATTTTCTTCTTGAATTTTAGGTCATCTAATCCTACCAATTATTCACCTGAGGTCTTTGCCATCTCCATTTGCTTTACTTGAGAGTATATGTGAATATTTGCCCAATTCATCCTTATAGCATATTATCTAAAATTTCAGAAGCAATTGAAAGGGAAAGTAGCAGAGAGGTTTTCTGCTGGAAATTTGGGGCATATGGAACTATTTTTTATATTTCCCCAGTATCCATTTATATTTATCTCAAACACATTAGGGAAAAGTTGAAGGGTTTGTGATTTCCTTGCTTGTAGCTACAGCAAATTGTCAACCTTAGAGTTGTAATGTTTAATCAAAAAATATTTTCAAAACCTAGAAAATAATGAAGATCTCATTCTCCTCTTAAATGAAGCAGGAAGTTTGAAGAAGAAAATGTGCCTTGTGTTAGATGGTAATTGCAGCATCCTTCAAATTTATGATTTTTTAGCTGAAATATTTTCCTCAAATATTTCCAAATCACATACATGATTTATATAATATTTGTCCTTTTCATTTGTTACCTTTTATTTATGCTTCATTTAATTATTTTTTTATTTTTTATTAATTTATTTTGATTTATCAATAATCACTTTCATATGCTTTTGAGTTCAACATTTTTCTCCCCCTTCCTCCCCACCACCCTCCCCAAGATGGCACACAGTCTGATATAGGTTATACATTTACATTCATATTAAACATACTTTCACATTAGTGATGTTGTAAGTAGAAATTAAACCAATAGGAGGAACCATCAGAAAGAGGAAACAAAACTCAACAGAAGAGAGAAAAAATAACAATTGAGCTTCCATAGTTCTTTCTTTGGGTGTGGACAGCATTTTCCATCACAAGGCCTCTGGAGATGTCTTAGATCCTTGTATTGCCAGGAAGGGTTAAGTTTATCAATATTAGTCATCACACAATGTGGCTGTTATTGTGTACAACGTTCTCTTGCTTCTGTTTACTTCACTCAGCATCAGACCATGCAAGACTTTCCAGGTTTTTCTGAAGTCAGCCTGTTCATCATTTCTTATAGCACAATGGTATTCCATCACATTCATGTACCACAACTTGCTCGACTATTCCTTAATTGATGGGCATCCTCTCAATTTCCAATTGTTTGCCACCACAAAAAGAGCTGCTATGAATATTTTTTTACATGTAGGTCCTTTTCCCATTTGTGTGATCTCTTTGGGATATAGCCCTAGAAGTGCTATTGCTGGGTCAAAGGTATGCACATTTTGATAGCCCTTTGTTCCAAATTGCTCTCCAAAATGGTTGGATCATTTCACAACTCCACCAACAATGCATTAGTGTTCCAATTTTCCCACGTCTTCTCCAACATTTATCATTTTCCTGTTTTGTCATGTTGGCCATTCTGATAGGTGTGATGTGGTACCTCAGAGAGGTTTTGATTTGCATTTCTCTAATCAATAGTGATTTAGAGCATTTTTTCATATGACTAGCCTCATTTAATTCTTGTGACTCATTTTCTTTACCTATAATAAATATTAACACAATGACCCTTACATTAGATTTTGTACTTCTCAATGTTCCGTACTAGACAAAAACTGATTTGTAAAGAGAACTATTAAATTTGAAAATTGCAAATGCCATCTCAGTCAGGAAGGTCTCTTTTAGTTCCAAGAGATTAATATCATTTATATTAAATTTCATATTTCATTTGTAGAACTTGCAACTCAAGTAGGATCATAGAATGTTCAACTGTTAAGGAGAGTAGAGATAATTACAAATAAACAACAGTAACAAAGTATGTTTCAGTAAGTGTTTAAGAAACATTGAAATTGAAATAATAAAATGATATGGTCTTACTTTTCTCAGATTAGAAATATTCATTCAGCTGCTACTTTCTCTGATGAATACATTTGCATTTATGAAATTTAATGAAAACAATTTACATTTATATAGAACTTTGAGGTTTACAAACCTCATTAAATCCCTTTCGCATTTGAATATCACAGTAAGGTGGTAATGTATCTATTACAGGAATTACCCACACTTTTCAGATTAAGAAAGTGAAACTTTATAATTTAAATGACTTGTCAAATGTTACCCCACTCCTAAGTGCGGGATTCAAACCCAAGAGTCTTAATTCCAATGTCCACATTCTTTCTACTACACCACATTATTTTTCAGTTAAACACAAAATCTTTCCAGTACATCCCACCAAACCATGTGTCAATGATTGTCCACCTATCAAAATTTATCTTTGAATTCAAAAGAGAAATCTTTAAGTAGAGAGTATTCTACCCTTCCTTTGCTTTATGAGGGTGAAGCCTTTCCCAGGTCAATTTTTACTGTTTTAAATGAGAAATAAGGTCTTATTCTGAGTCTAGAGCTCAACAACACCAATTACTAAGGCAGCTTCATTAGTAGGGATAAATGCTAGGGTTAGAGTCAGGGGAATATAGTTGGATTCTTTGCTCTGTCTCTTAGTCGCTTTGCAAACCTGGCACATGATTACACCTCCCACAGGTTCAGCTTTCTCATCTGTAAAATAATGAAAACATTATCTGGAGTACCAGCCTCACAGGGTTATTGTCACAACAAGAATAATAATTATAAAAAAATTGGTTCATAGTGATGAAGACCTGAATTTTAATCTGACCTTAGACACTTACCGGTCTAAGCCTATGTTACATCATCTGAAAAATGATGACATCCATCTCAATAACTTCTATGATTTCATCATGATATGCAGGGTAAAATGTAGTTTTCATGTTAGTTAATATACAATTGTAATAAAAAAAATCAAATAAACAGTCATCTAACACTGACTCTCTCCCTAGATTTCAAAAGGCTGTTATAATGCATTAATAAGATTATATCATCATTGTTTTAGATCTGGAGTTAACCTCAGAGATCGTGTATTCTAATTCTCTCATTTTATAGATGAGGGCACTGGGGCCCAAATAGTGCAAATGTTTTGAGTAAACTCACTCAGGTAATAAATGGCGTAAGGAAGATTTGAACAGAGATGCTCTGACTCCAATTTCAGTGCTCATTCAGGAAGTGTTGACTTTGGAATAGCAGAGCATGGACTTGTAAACCAATTCTGTTTATTATCTGCGTGACTTTGGAAAAAATTACTTCCCTTTTCTTAGCCTCTATTCATTTCTCTCTGAAAATAGGAGATTGAACAAAGTAATCTCTAAGATCACCTAGTTGTAAATAATATGATCTATAAATAATTGATCAATGAATGAAACAATTTCAGGCCCAAAAGTGAATAGTGGATGTTGCCAAATACTAATCGGTATTGTAACTTCTTGGCTCAGTACTATATCAGAGCCAACTCAAACTAGTTTATGAAAGCTGATTTTTAACATTATAATATGAGCATTTACATCTCATATTGGCAAATGCTACAAATAAAGTTTTATTGCTTTATTCAGACTATCTAGACTTTAGAAAGTGATGGAGAAATTAATAATCCATACAATCATAACACTGCCTTTGTTTGTTCCTACAATGAGGATGTGAATCCCTATTTCCTTCTCTAAGGTCTATTCAAGTACTTACTAAATTTAATAAATATAAGTTTAATTATATTATTAGTGACTGGATTTAATTAGACCTCTCGACATGTTGGACTTAAATATTGGAGATAGTATAATGTGCCTGGATCTGAAGTCAGGAGAGACAGAGCTTGTAAGTATAGCAATGTCCTCTTCTTCCCTGCTCATGGTGTCAGTAAGCAGTTTTCTTTAAACATTTCCTAAATTATTGATGGATGAAAAATTCATTCAGTAAATGTTTGCTATGTTCATATATAAATAGAAAAAAAGACATTTTCTGCTATCAAGGAGCTCACATTCTAATTGGGAAAACAGTATATAAAGAAAGAGTTGGGGTAGATGGTAGACCTGCTGGTTCTTGATCACACAAATGTGTTGATTAACATTGTATTTATGCTGTATACTTATCTATTAGATCATTATAATTAGTAACATCATTGCAAGTAGGAACTTTTTTATTCATTGTCCTCACACTTCCAGTGTGTAGCACATTGTTTGGGATATCATAAACACTTATTTAATAAATGTTGGTTACTTTTTTGCTTGACTGACTTATCAATAAGTGGATGGATTGATTAAGGTTTTATGGTTCAATATTTCATGTCAACATATCCAGGCTGAAGTCTGTTACTATGTCTTAGATTTCAGAACAGAGAGATTATGGAACCAATGTTCGTGCACAAATGGAACAGAGGTGAATTAATTTTTACCCATTATTCCCCTTCCCACATATTTCCTACCTGCTACACTCCTTTAGAATTCACCATCACACCCTACTGAATATCCTGATTGGAAATCTCACTATCCTACAAAATCACCTCCCCTTGGTACTCACATCTCATTAGCATACTCCACTCCTCTTATTGGAGGGTGGAGGGAAAAGATCCTCCCCAAACCTCCATAGAAGGAGAATTGCCCAGTTCAATCATTTTCTCACTTCCCACTTGGATGCACTCCTTTAAACTTCATCCTGTGATTTAAAAAACAAAAACAAAAACAAAAAACATTTGAGTTACCTTTTTGTGTGTTGACTTTTCCCATTCTCTGTTTCAAAGTGTTGACAATGGTGGTCACAACAAAGTTGGCATGTAATCCAGCATGGTGCACCATCTTGGATTCCTTCACAGTAGCACAGTTACCAATGGCATAGATATTACTGACTCCCTCCACCTGGAGGTGATTGTTAATCATTAAGGCATCATTACCAGCCATTTGGTCACCCAGGGCACTGCTGTATGCAGAGGAGTTGATTTTAATCTCATTGCAGACAGTCACCAGGTTAGCCACTGGCTGAGTCTCTTTGTCTGTCTTCCCTTGGATGCTGCCATGATGCTCATTGAGAGGCAGCTCCTCCAGGTTACTCACTTGCTCACTCAACAGTTTCACCCCTTTCTGGAGAAGAATCTCTTTCACTTCCTCCTGAACACAAGGAAGGAGTTCTGGGTACATTATATTATAATGTACTTGAGTATAGGGACTACTTATCTTTTTCATATTTCTTCCCCAATGCTTAACATCTCCTGATACATAGTAGCCACTTAATAAATGTTTATTGACTGCCACTCCAATCCAGTGAAACCACTTTTAATATTATTGCTAACAAATGACAATCTTTCTGGCTTTTTCACTACTTTTCCCTTTTAAGTAGATTATCTTCCCTTCTAAATTCTAGCTCTTAGAATTCAATTTCCTTCAAAGCTTAATTCAAATACCACTCGCTCCATGAAACCCTTGTTGATCACTTTGGATACAAGTATCTTCCTCATAAGACAATGTATCACAGTCTTGGTAGGACAAAATTATAACAAGGAGTAGAGAATTGTTCCATACTTTGTTGCATCTCTGGCTCACAGGCTGTATTTCACAATAATCTTTGAATATATACATGGCATCTCAGCTAGCTAGATTGTAAACCTTCCTCCAAAGTAGAGTTTTTAGCTTTTGTGTTTGCATACACAGTATCTAGAATACCTCTGTCTGCCAAATAGTAAGCATTTAACAAATGTGTCTTGTCTGATTAATGGATACAATATGGAAGCCCTATGTAATCCAAAGAGAATGATTATATACTCAGAAGATCTGCTTTTTAATATCCAGTATTCCCAGACCATATTTATGTTCAATTTGCCAAATGAGTTCACGTTTTTGGGATTTTAGTCAGTCAAAAAGTATTTATTAACCTCCTATTGTTTTCCAGGCACTCCTATAAGTGTAGGAAATACTAAGAAAATAAAATGAAAAATCTGCATTCAAGCAGCTCACAGTTTATTAAAGGATATGATATAAAAATAATTATGTGCAGAGAAAAAATAGAAAATCAACTGAAGACAATGTCATGGAGAAGCCATTAAGATTAAGGAGGACTCAGAAAGGTTTCCTGCAAAAATTAAGACTTAAATAAGGTTCTGTTCACTGATTGGGAAAAAATGCAAATACCATTTGCTCAATATTCTCCTCTTTCCCATAGCATTTATCTGTGGAATAAATCAGTAAATATGATTCCTCCCTGAGGCTTTGGGATAATTCACTGGAGGAATTTGAGCTGTGAAAAGGTAAAACAAAAAAGTAACAAAAGATACCAAAGGAAACTGTTTTAAATTCCAGATCTCCTCATAAATACTTGTATGATCTTGGGGAATTTATATCAATTCTCTAGACCTCATTTTCTTTTCTAAAGCTGGAGTTTTGAGTGACATTACCTCTGTAGTCCTTTCTAGGTCTAAATTCCATGATCTGTTGATTAGATTAGCCTTTACATTCATACAATTTGGATGTAGATTAATAGGGATGCATTGGCATGTGTTTAACAATTACCTCTCAAAAATGTACACATGACACATCTTAAAATTTATCTGCATTATTAACATTTTTCCATATTTGTTTCACAATGCTAGACAGTCTACAAAATAGAATACCAGGCCTTAAGATTTTGTATTTTCACTTTCCTAAGTGTAAATGGTTAGTCTGAAAATCTAAAAATTGACTTTATGAGTCATTTCAAGAAGGCTTTAGAATATTCCTGGTTAGAGGTATACTTGTTATGAGGACCTAACTCAATCAATCAATCAACCCTTATTAAGTGCCTACTAAAGGTCAGGCACAGTGCTAAGGTTGTGGATACAAAAAGAGGCAAAAATAATTCCTTCCTTAAAAGCACTTACTAACTATTGTTGTTTGTCATTCTTCCTTGAAGAGGAGCAAAATGGCATCATTATGTCAGGGCCAATGTGCCGTATGTCTGCCTATGGCTCATCATACCAATAGAGCTCAGAATACTCTACCACAGGTCAGGCACAAATAGTCTGTATGACCATTCATGAGGAAGATGTCTCAACATTTGCCCATCACTTGTTTCTTTGGAGCTAGTGAAATTTTGTTTTGCTAATAGAGTAAATCTTTGCCAACAGAGCATCTTCTTTGATGTGGTCATAACATGCTATATGATTCTGTGACAGTGTCTCTCATTTCTCACAATTAATACCAAACTTCTTCAGACACCTTGAAAATATACTTATATCACTCCTCCTGACCTCCATATAAGTGCCAACTTTGTGTGAGTTCTCCCTAAAAGGGACTTTTACATAAATGTACATTTGGCATGTAAACAAAATGGTCAGCCCATAGGAATTCTGCTGTCTGTAATTAGGGTTTATATGCTTGGCAGTGTATTTTGAGAACGGGCCTCAGTATCTAGTAAATTATCCTCTAGGTGATCTTCAGAATTGTCTTAAAACTATTAAAATAGGAGCAGCTAGGTGGTGCAGTGGATAGAGCACTGGCTCTGAATGAAGGAAGACCTGAATTTAGATCTGGCCTCAGACCAAACACTTGACACTTACTAGCTGTGTGACCCTGGATATTGCCCAAAAAATCAAGCAAACAAACAAACAAAAAAGGAATTCAAATGGATACAGTTCAATTTTCTGGCATGGTGCTGGTAGACTGTCTAGGTTTCACAGGCATACAACAATGAGGTCAGAACAATGGCTCTGTAGACCTTCACCTTGGCAGGCAGCCTAATTGTTCTTCTCTTCCACAGATTCCTTCAGAGGCTCCCAAATGTTGAGTTAGCTCTGGCAATGTGTGTGTCAACCTCATCATCTGTGTGTTCATCCCTGGAAGGTATACTGTCAAAGTAAATGAACTAATCCACAGCATTCAAAATTCCTCCATTTGATATAACCAATGGTTCCACATATGGTGTAAAGCTGGCTGGTGGAGAATGTCTATTTTCTTGGTAGGACCAAATTATAACAAGCAGCAGAGAATTGGTCTATACTTCATTGCATCTCAGCCTCAGAGGCTGTATTTCACAATCATCTTTGAACAAAAAAGTCATGCACCAATTCTGCTTCCACATTAATCTTGGCTTGTAGTCTTTTCAAGTTAGATAATTTACCATCAGTGTGGTAGCTGACTGTGATGCCATTTTCATCCTCACTGAAGGCATGTGACAACATCGCTGAACACATAATGCTAAAAGTATGGGTACAAGTATGCAACCCTGCTTCACTCCATTGATGACTGTCAAAGTGCAAGAGCAGTGTCCATTATGTAGAACCTATGCAATCATGCTGGCATGGAAGTAACATACAATAGTGATGCACTTCTCTGGGTAACCAAATTTCTCCATGATCTTCCAGAGGCCTTCACAACTCACAGTGTCAATGGCCTTAGTTAGATTGAGCAATGTTGTATACATAAGTCTGTTCTGCTTCTGACATTTCTTTTGGAATTACTGGGCAGCAAACACTATGTAAACCACTCCTGATCCTTTCTGATGCCACATTGGCTTTTGGGTAGATGACCATCTTCCAGGTGATGAATCAATCAATTAAGGAGGACTTGTGAGCAATGACTAAAAGAGAGGCACCCCCCCCCCCACACACAATGGTTGTCACAGGAAAACCTATTTCCTTTGCCTTTATATAGAAGGATGATGGAGACATGTTGATCTCCTGGGAGGTAACCTCCTCCTGCCATATAACCCAGAAGATTTCTATCAGATTTGTATGAGCAATAGATACCCTGCCTTGTAGATCTCTGTATGAATGGAATCAGCCCTAGGCACTTTGCCACACTAGAGAAGCCTAATGACATTCAAAACCTGTTCTGCAGTTGGAAATTCATCAAGAAAGGGATTAAGTTCAGCCTGAGGTATAACTCAGTATCTTCAGTATTGGTTGATGACAGTCTGTTGAGAACACTACAGTACTGTTCAGCCTATCTGTCAGAATCTTGCCCTCCTCAGTGACATGTGTGGCTTGATCAGCACTAAGTAGTTGAGCTGCATCCAAGGTTTTTGGCCCATAAATAGCCTTCAGGACATTTTAAACATACTTTGGATTCTTACTATCAGCATAAAACTGAGTTTCATCTGCCTTCTTACTGAGCCAAGAATCCTGCATCTCTTTAAACTTTGCTTACAATCCAATGAGGAAGATAATATGCAATATATATGTATGTATGTATATGAACAAGTTATACACATTATAAATGGGTAATAATTAACAGAGAGAAGACAATAGAATTAAGAGAAGTTGGAGGAGCCTTCTTGTAGAAGTTGGTTTTAGTTGGTACTTAAAAGAAGTAAAGGAGGTAAGTAGTTGGAGCAGAAGAAGGAAAGAGTTTCAAGCACAAGAGACAGCCAAAAAAAATGCCTTTAACAAAGAGACGGAGTATTTTGTTCGTGAAAGAATCAGGAGGCCAGTGCTACTGTATCAGAGAATATGTATTAGGGAGTAATGTATAAAAAAGACTGGAAACACAGGATAGTGTTAGGTTATGAAGAACTTTGAAGCCAAACATTATTTTGTATTCATTCCTGGAGGCAGTAGCAAACCTTTGGAGTTCATTGGGGGAGGGGGGCAGAGGGAGACATGAATTGACCTATGTTTTAGGAAAATCACTTTAGTGGCTGAATAGAGACTGAATTAGAATGGGAATAGACTTGAGGAAGGCAGAGTAGTCTATTTCAGTAATCCAGGTATGAGTTGAGGGCCTGCAGTACTGTTTTGGCAGTGTCAGAAGAGAGAAAAGGCATATATGAGACATGCTGCAAAGAGAAAATCAACAGGCCTTGACAATTGATTAAATATAAGGGGTGAGAGGTAGTCCTAAGATGACTCAGGTTACAAGCCTGAGGGGCTAGTAGGATGCTGTTTTCCTCTTCAGTAATAGGAAAGGTAGAAGTGTGGGGGGTTAAGGGAAAAGATAATGAGTTCTATTTTGCACATGGTGAGTTTAAGATGTCTGCTGAATATCCAACTGGAAATGTTTGCAAGGTTATTGCAGGTGTTATATTTGCAGTTAGCAGGGAGTTTGGGGCAGGCAGGTGTATTTGAAAATCATCAGAACCGAGATAGCAATTAAATACATTGAACCTGCTGAGATCACTGAGGGAAGTAGTAGGAGGAGAGAAGATGACCCAAAAACAAAATACTGAGGGA